ATTGGATGGTACCAATTAGCTGACCTGAACAGAAAACTACAGAAACAAATCTGGATTACTAATCTGCCAGCACAACAGCAATAATATAAAAATTACCATAAAGAGTCATGATAAGCATTCCATAATTTTTTTAAATACATTATCTATATAACAACCTGAACAGTTTTTAGTGGTTCAGAACTGCAGCAATTTGTAAAATGTAGTGCAGCTCTAAGACAGCCCCTCAGAACTGTCAATCAGATAGCCAGAATATTCAATTCCAACTGTCCTGATATCAATTTGTCCTTCTATACTTCGAATTAATATTATTATTATTATTATATTTATAGAGAGACGTCAAATTCCGCAGCGCTTTACAATGGGTGGACGAAAAGACATGTAGTTGTAACCAGACAAGTTGGACACACAGGAACAGAGGGGTTGAGGGCCCTGCTCAATGAGCTTACATGCTAGAGGGAGTGGGGTAAAATGACACAAAAAGGTAAGGATAGTATTAGACTAGTGACAGTTGCAGAAGAGGAATCAGTCAGGAGCTATTAACAGTTTAATTGATACGCTTTTATGAAGAAGTGGGTTTTTAACGATTTTTGAAGGAGTGGAGACTGGGTGAGCATCTAACGGAGGAGGGAAGCGAGTTCCACAGGAACGGTGCAGCCCTCGAGAAATCTTGAAGGCGAGCATCAGAGGTGGGAGTACGGACAGAAGATAGACGTAAGTCTTCAGCAGATCGTAAGGGCCTAGATGGGACATACTTGTGTATAAGGGAGGATAGATAGGTGGGAGCAGCATTATGTAGAGATTTGAAAGCAAGAACCAGAATTTTAAATTGAGCTCTATATTTTATAGGAAGCCAATGTAGGGACTGACAGAAGGGTGAGGCATGGGAGGTGCGGGCGGACAGGAAGATGAGCCTTGCCGCCGCATTCATTATGGACTGTAACGGCGCAAGTTGGGAGCACGTAAGACCACTGAGAAGCGGATTACAGTAGTCAAGGCGAGAAAGGACAGTGGAATGGACCAACACCTTAGTCGCATCTGGCGTTAAGTAGGGGCGGATGCACGCAATGTTTTTGAGATGGAAATGACAGGATTTGGCGATAGATTGAACATGAGGCTTGAAGGAGAGGTCGGAGTCAAAGAGAACACCTAGGCAGCGAGCCTGCGTGGTGGAGCTGATGGTAGCACCGTTGACTTGGAGGGAGACAGACACAGGAGTAACAACACTTGAGGGAGGAAAGACCAGAATTTCAATTTTGGTCAAGTTTACTTTAAGGAAGTGGGCAGCCATCCAGTTAGAAACAGCAGAGAGGCAGTCAGAGACACTTGTCAAGAGGGACGGGGAGAGATCAGGAGAGGACAGGTAGATTTGCGTGTCATCTGCATAGAATTGATATTGGAAGCCAAAGGAGCTAGTGAGTTTACCAAGGGAGGCAGTATAGATGGAGAACAGTAGGGGACCAAGGACTGAACCAATATATATTGCATTATCTATGTAATTTTATAATGGTTTAGCTCCAAAGGTGTGTAGATTGTGCCTGTCAGCTTGGCCCCTTTTCTTCTGGTAAAGTCTTTGGCTTCAATGAGGAAGTCATGGACAGGGTGCAGTGATAGACTGAGAGTTAGCTTGCCCCATTGTCAGTGACGGACCCTCTGATCACCTAAACCGGGTACATGTCTCCCCAGGCCTCCACCTCCCCTAAAAGACTATAACACTATAACCCTTCCATGTCTCCCAGCCCAGCACCTCTTTCCTGGTTGTCCAGAACAGCCTATCCTCCTCCAGGAGGCCGCTGAGACATGGTGTATGCGCATGTTACCGGGAGTGACCCTAAATTGTCCTGTATCACTAAAGCGGATCAGAGAGTCTTTGTGATCCTCTAAAACATTTACTAGAGCATTCTCGGTCCCAGGACCCTCAATCAGGGCACTATTTGGAGGGCTAACAGAGGAGGTGGAAAGGCATCGAATGACACCAATGACTTGAAGGAGCTCCATGTAGTCCCGTAAAGCGCCATGTTTTTAGGTCACCGGGAAACTCAACCCAGCAATCTGGAACTCTGCACCAGATTGGAGGCTAGCCGCGTCACGCTGAACTTTGTGCTTCATCTAATTCTGGATAGCCAGAGTCAATCCGGGCGCTTTTTGGATAGAATGGGCGCTCCAGAGAGACATTTCTGAGGATATATGCCCTGTGGGGGGTTGCTCTTTATTATTATGTGTTTTTTGTGGTGTTTTTATATATTGCGCTCTCTGTATTCAGAAGATAATGAATTAAACTGAGAGCTATCTCCGACACACAAAGGTGCCTGGGTAGGCATGTGCTGTTATGAATAAAGACTGGTCTGGGTATAAATCAGTTCTTCTTTATCCTTCACTAAGTCTAGGCTTGTGTCTGGGTGAGACAGCGGTACTTCGTGCAGGAAGGTATAATCACTCTGAAGCTGTACACACTGGGAAGGGACAACCTAGGCGGTAGTAAACCATCTTCTCGAGGGTATACCACCACAAGTCTATCATTAAATTGCCATTGAGAAAACTGACATCATACACCAGAAGATCGTTAAAACTAAACCATTTGTAAGATGGCACCTAGGACCTTCAGCCAAACTAACCATTTGTAAGATGAAGTTGCTATGGTGCCTGGAGACCTTCATTAATGTAGGCTCACTTTATTTGCCTCTCTGCCATATGAAATGTGGGAAGGCAGAACTTTTGCATTTTTATACCTATCTGTGTATGTCTATCTCCCCATGTTACATTATTGATTTAGGTCAGGCTAACACATCTTCTCAAATGGGGGCTGCAGATACATACACCCTAACACACACATACAGCTAAACACTCCCGTAAGTTACACACAACTACACACTCACTCCCACATGCACATACATACTCACAATTAGTTACTCCCATAAACACACATAATACAGTATACACTTCCTTCTATCCAAGCACTTGTAGTTTTGACAAGCTCTCAGTGGAGGCTGCTTCACTGCACTGTGTGAACTGAAGTCACTGAAGTTCCAACCTTTGACTGCAGATTGCCAGAATTTTAGTAAAGGCTGGCTGGAGTATATTGTGCAGGCAAACAATGCTCCCAGCCAGCCTCCTGAAACACATAAAAAAAAGGTGTCAATCTGAACCCTAATGCAGGGTAGGCCGTCATGGAGGGACAAAGGTTTAAAAATAATATCAGGAAGACTTTACTGAGAGGGTAGTGGATGCATGGAATAGCGTTCAAGCTGAAGTGGTAGAGGTTAACACAGTAAAGGAGTTTAAGCATGCGTGGGATAGGTATGAGGCTATCCTAACTATAAGATAAGGCCAGGGACAAATGAAAGTATTTAGAAAATTGGGCAGACTAGATGGGCCGAATGGTTCTTATCTGCCGTCACATTCTATGTTTCTATGGAGGAAAAAGAGAGGTTTGGTGACTTGGCCACAAAAGGATTTATTGATTTGTAAATGGCTTACACACCGTAAAATGAGACTCCTACTTTATGCAGTTCTCATTGATTGTATGTTTTAATGGCCGCCGATATGCAATGACCTAGTTGGACAGAGCTTATGTAATTGCTTAATTATATCTAAAAATAAAACTACTACATGTTTGCAATTAGTTGGTAGTAGTTACTGAGTTCTTTATTTTAACTAATTATAGTATAAGCGACTTGTCTACACAGTGACTAATTAATTGGCTATATGGCAGCAGCAACTGATATCTTTATTTAAGTGTATATAATTTACTACAATGTGCTGTAGTGATTATGGTGCCTGGAGAGCCCTGGCAACCTTCCAATGTAAGTAGTAAAATAATTTTAGAATGTCTAGACTTCTTACTTGGGTTCTGGCATGCACTGTTTCATGGCTCCACCACAGCATCCTCTCTATATGTAAGTTCTTTGTCAGAGCTAAGCCAACAAGTGCAGGGCTTAGTTCATTGACTGAGAGTGATCAGATGATGCTTTCAGCCAATTAGCTGGTCCTGCACTGCAGAGTTAAGCCCAGAGGAACTAAGGAAAGCTCATATGCAGCAGCTCCTGACTCTCCTGGTGGCTGAGAGGAGGCAGGGAGCGGGAAGCGGTGCCTGGCGTACGCCACGAAAGAAGTGAGACCATTCTAAAATAGTTTGACTACTTACAATGGGGGCCCCTCCAGGCCACGCAGCATCAGACAGCGGCCCCTTGAAACATCTCTTCTTTCTGCGTGTATAATTTATGCAAGGCAGGATCATTCATAACATCGTCAATGTGTCAGGTTATGGCCAATCAATTTCTGAACAGGGCCCAAATAGCTGATTCGGAAAAAAATTCCAGCTGACAAGTTTGGCCTTAAATTTGGAATTCTCAGGTCAATTCAACATTTCAGTGTTGAGTGAATATTCCTGATAGTCTATAAATATTGCCAGTTTTGTGCCAAGGATTCTTTGAGCAGCAGAATTAAATGAATCCATAGCTAAATGGACAGAAATGGAAATATAGTTGAGAGTGGGATGTGTGTTTCTTTTCCAAGAAGTGACAATGAAGAGGGGTTGTCACATGAATGCAGCTTCACAGTGTTTGGATAGTTATTACAATTATTGTACACAACAAAAACAAAATCACATCTCTGTGAAAACAAACCAGGAGTTATCACATTATTATTTTTATTTTTTTACCCTGTACATACTGGAACAGTAATCTTGGAAGTATCCCTGGCAGTCAGTGTCTATATAAAGCATTCTAGTGCTGGACACAAATAGAATCAGACACAGACCCACAGCTGCTCCAGCACACATTCCCATACACCACAGGGAGAAACCAAGTCTCCACCCTAGAGAGGGGGCACGGCACTTACTAAGAACTGTTACAGGCTGTGCACATTACTTTAAGGTTCCATGATTACATTGGTAATCTAAATATGAACTAAATAGCAAACACTGTTTGTGTCAAGTTATTTGTGATGATTGAGGAGTGTGTGTGATTCTTGCCCCTGCTTGGCCTCCCCTCAGTGTGTGAGTGGTTGTGGCCAGGGACTGCTGTCAGACTCTGGGCTGAGGGAAGAGATGGCGGCGGCCGAGCAGGTCAGTGCGGCTGGGTGCTGCCTGCATGCTGCGCTCCATGCTGGGCACTCACAGACCGGCCATTATGGGCAGTGGTAGACATATATAAATATATTATTTGGTTTGTGTGCCATGCAAAACATCCGCTGAAAAAATGGGATGTAACGGTGTGTGCGCATCCAGATATGGAAAGCATCATCTGCACTGGGGCAGTCTAGTATGGATTGTATGGCACGGAGTATAGCACTGGGACTGTCTAGTCTGGATTGTATGGCACCGAGTATAGCACGGGGGCTGTCTAGTCTGGATTGTATGGCACTGAGTATAGCACGGGGGCTGTCTAGTCTGGATTGTATGGCACCGAGTATAGCACGGGGACTGTCTAGTCTGGATTGTATGGCACCGAGTATAGCACGGGGGCTGTCTAGTCTGGATTGTATGGCACCGAGTATAGCACTGGGGCTGTCTAGTATGGATTGTATGGCACTGAATATAGCACTGGGGCTGTCTAGTATGGATTGTATGGCACCGAGTATAGCACTGGGGCTGCCTAGTCTGGATTGTATGGCACCGAGCATAGCACGGGGGCTGCCTAGTCTGGATTGTATGGCACCGAGTATAGCACTGCCTAGTCTGGATTGTATGGCACCGAGTATAGCACGGGGGCTGTCTAGTATGGATTGTATGGCACTGAGTATAGCACTGGGGCTGTCTAGTCTGGATTGTATGGCACCGAGCATAGCACTGGAACTGCCTAGTATGGATTGTATGGCACTGAGTATAGCACTGGGGCTGTCTAGTCTGGATTGTATGGCACTGAGTATAGCACTGGGGCTGTCTAGTCTGGATTGTATGGCACTGAGTATAGCACTGGGGCTGTCTAGTCTGGATTGTATGGCACTGAGTATAGCACTGGAACTGCCTAGTATGGATTGTATAGCACTGGAACTAACTAGTATGGATTGTATGGCACTGAGTATAGCACTGGGGCTGTCTAGTCTGGATTGTATGGCACTGAGTATACCACTGGAACTGCCTAGTATGGATTGTATGACACTGAGTATAGCACTGGAACTGCCTAGTATGGATTGTACGGCACTGAGTATAGTACTGGAACTGCCTAGTATGGATTGTATGGCACTGAGTATAGCACGGGGGCCCTCTATGGATTGTATGGCACTGAGTATAGCATGGGGGCTCTCTATGGATTGTATGGCACTGAGTATAGCACGGGGGCTGTCTAGTATGGATTGTATGGCACTGAGTATACCACGGGGGCTGTCTAGTATGGATTGTATGGCACTGAGCATAGCACTGGGGCTGTCTAGTATGGATTGTATGGCGCTGAGTATAGCACGGGGGCTCTCTATGGATTGTATGGCACCGAGTATAGCACTGGAAATGCTTAGTCTGGATTTTATGGCACTGAGTATAGCACAGGGGCTCTCTATGGATTGTATGGCACTGAGTATAGCACTGGGACTGTCTCTAGTCTGGATTGTATGGCACTGAGTATAGCACTGGAACTGCCTAGTATGGATTGTATGGCACTGAGTATAGCACTGGAACTGCCTAGTATGGATTGTATGGCACTGAATATAGCACTGGAACTGCCTAGTATGGATTGTATGGCACCGAGTAAAGCACGGGGGCTGTCTAGTATGGATTGTATGGCACTGAGTATAGCGCTGGGGCTGTCTAGTCTGGATTGTATGGCACCGAGTATAGCACTGGGGCTGTCTAGTCTGGATTGTATGGCACCGAGCATAGCACTGGGGCTGTCTAGTCTGGATTGTATGGCACCGAGCATAGCACTGGGGCTGTCTAGTCTGGATTGTATGGCACCGAGCATAGCACTGGGGCTGTCTAGTATGGATTGTATGGCACTGAGTATAGCACTGGGGCTGTCTAGTCTGGATTGTATGGCACTGAGTATAGCACTGGAACTGCCTAGTATGGATTGTATGGCACCGAGTATAGCGCTGGGGCTGTCTAGTCTGGATTGTATGGCACCGAGCATAACACTGCGGCTGTCTAGTCTGGATTGTATGGCACCGAGCATAGCACTGGGGCTGTCTAGTATGGATTGTATGGCACTGAGTATAGCACTGGGGCTTTCTAGTCTGGATGGTATGGCACTGAGTATAGCACTGGAACTGCCTAGTATGGATTGTATGGCACTGAGTATAGCACTGGAACTGCCTAGTATGGATTGTATGGCACTGAGTATAGCACTGGGGCTGTCTAGTCTGGATTGTATGGCACTGAGTATACCACTGGAACTGCCTAGTATGGATTGTATGGCACTGAGTATAGCACTGGAACTGCCTAGTATGGATTGTACGGCACTGAGTATAGTACTGGAACTGCCTAGTATGGATTGTATGGCACTGAGTATAGCACGGGGGCCCTCTATGGATTGTATGGCACTGAGTATAGCATGGGGGCTCTCTATGGATTGTATGGCACTGAGTATAGCACAGGGGCTGTCTAGTATGGATTGTATGGCACTGAGTATACCACGGGGGCTGTCTAGTATGGATTGTATGGCACTGAGTATACCACGGGGGCTGTCTAGTCTGGATTGTATGGCACCGAGCATAGCACTGGGGCTGTCTAGTACGGATTGTATGGCGCTGAGTATAGCACGGGGGCTCTCTATGGATTGTATGGCACCGACTATAGCACTGGAACTGCTTAGTCTGGATTTTATGGCACTGAGTATAGCACAGGGGCTCTCTATGGATTGTATGGCACTGAGTATAGCACTGGGACTGCCTAGTATGGATTGTATGGCACTGAGTATAGCACTGGAACTGCCTAGTATGGATTGTATGGCACCGAGTATAGCACGGGGGCTGTCTAGTATGGATTGTATGGCACCGAGTATAGCACTGGGGCTGTCTAGTCTGGATTGTATGGCACAGAGTACAGCGCTGGGGCTGTCTAGTCTGGATTGTATGGCACAGAGTATAGCGCTGGGGCTGTCTAGTCTGGATTGTATGGCACCGAGCATAGCACTGGGGCTGTCTAGTATGGATTGTATGGCACTGCGTATAGCACTGGGGCTGTCTAGTCTGGATTGTATGGCACTGAGTATAGCACTGGAACTGCCTAGTATGGATTGTATGGCACTGAGTATAGCACTGGAACTGCCTAGTATGGATTGTATGGCACTGAGTATAGTACTGGAACTGCCTAGTATGGATTGTATGGCACTGAGTATAGCACGGGGCTCTCTATGGATTGTATGGCATTGAGTATAGTACTGGAACTGCCTAGTATGGATTGTATGGCACTGAGTATAGCACGGGGCTCTCTATGGATTGTATGGCACTGAGTATAGCACGGGGGCTCTCTATGTATTGTATGGCACTGAGTATAGCACGGGGGCTCTCTATGGATTGTATGGCACTGAGTGTAGCACTGGGACTGTCTAGTATGGATTGTATGGCACTGAGTATAGCACTGGGGTTGTCTAGTCTGGATTGTATGGCACTGAGTATAGCACTGGAACTGCCTAGCATGGATTGTATAGCACTGGAACTGCCTAGTATGGATTGTATGGCACTGAGTATAGTACTGGAACTGCCTAGTATGGATTGTATAGCACGGGGGCTCTCTATGGATTGTATGGCACTGAGTATAGCACGGGGGCTCTCTATGGATTGTATGGCACTGAGTATAGCACGGGGGCTCTCTATGGATTGTATGGCACTGAGTGTAGCACTGGGACTGTCTAGTCTGGATTGTATAGCACTGGAACTGCCTAGTATGGATTGTATGGCACTGAGTATAGCACTGGAACTGCCTAGTATGGATTGTAGGGCACTGAGTATAGCACAGGGGCTCTCTATGGATTGTATGGCACTGAGTACAGCACGGGGGCTCTCTATGGATTGTATGGCACTCAGTATAGCACGGGGGCTCACTATGGATTGTATGGCACTGAGTATAGCACGGGGACTCTCTATGGATTGTATTGCGCTGAGTATAGCACTGGAACTGCCTTGTCTGGATTGTATGGCACTGGGGCTCTCTATGGATTGTATGGCACTGAGTATAGCACGGGGGCTGTCTAGTATGGATTGTATGGCACTGAGTATAGCACGGGGGCTCTCTATGGATTGTATGGTACTGAGTATAGCACAGGGGCTGTCTAGCATGGATTGTATGGCACAGAGTGTAGCACTGGGGCTGTCTAGTATTGATTGTATGGCACCGAGCATAGAACTGGGGCTGTCTAGTAGGGATTGTATGGCACTGAGTATAGTACTGGAACTGCCTAGTATGGATTGTATGGCACTGAGTATTGCACGGGGGCCCTCTATGGATTGTATGGCACTGAGTATAGCACGAGGGCTCTCTATGGATTGTATGGCACTGAGTATAGCACGGGGGCTCTCTATGGATTGTATGGCACTGAGTGTAGCACTGGGACTGTCTAGTCTAGATTGTATGGCACCGAGTATAGCACTGGGGCTGCCTAGTCTGGATTGTATGGCACTGAGTATAGCACGGGGGCTGCCTAGTATGGATTGTATGGCACTGAGTATAGCTCTGGAACTGCCTAGTATGGATTGTATAGCACGGGGGCTGTCTAGTATGGATTGTATGGCACCGAGTATAGCACGGAGGCTGTCTAGTATGGATTGTATGGCACCGAGTATAGCACGGGGCTGTCTAGTATGGATTGTATGGCACCGAGTACAGCACTGGGGCTGTCTAGTATGGATTGTATGGCGCTGAGTATAGCACTGGAACTGCCTAGTATGGATTGTATGGCACTGAGTATAGCACTGGAACTGCCTAGTATGGATTGTATGGCACTGAGTATAGCACGGGGGCTGTCTAGTATGGATTGCATAGCACTGGGGCTGTCTAGTCTGGATTGTATGACACCGAGCATAGCACTGGGGCTGTCTAGTATGGATTGTATGGCACTGAGTATAGTACTGGAACTGCCTAGTATGGATTGTATGGCACTGAGTATAGCACGGGGGCTCTCTATGGATTTTATGGCACTGAGTATAGCACGGGGGCTCTCTATGGATTGTATGGCACTGAGTGTAGCACTGGGACTGTCTAGTCTGGATTGTATGGCACTGAGTATAGCACTGGAACTGCCTAGTATGGATTGTATGGCACTGAGTATAGCACTGGAACTGCCTAGTATGGATTGTATAGCACTGGAACTGCCTAGTATGGATTGTATGGCACTGAGTATAGCACTGGAACTGCCTAGTATGGATTGTATGGCACTGAGTATAGCACAGAGGCTCTCTATGGATTGTATGGCACTGAGTATAGCACGGGGGCTCTCTATGGATTGTATTGCGCTGAGTATAGCACTGGAACTGCCTTGTCTGGATTGTATGGCACTGAGTATAGCACGGGGGCTCTCTATGGATTTTATGGTACTGAGTATAGCACGGGGGCTGTCTAGTATGGATTGTATGGCACTGAGTATACCACGGGGTCTGTCTAGTATGGATTGTATGGCACTGAGTATACCACGGGGGCTGTCTAGTCTGGATTGTATGGCACTGAGTATAGCACAGGGACTCTCTATGGATTGTATGGCACTGAGTATAGCACAGGGACTCTCTATGGATTGTATGGCACTGAGTATAGCACGGGGGCTCTCTATGGATTGTATGGCACTGAGTATAGCACGGGGACTGCATATTCTGGATTGTATGGCACCGAGTATAGCATGGAGGCTCTCTATGGATTGTATAGCACGGGGACTCACTAAGGATCTCTCACATTTAAAATAGATCAGTGTTATATAAACTCTCCACACATCACTTGTTATATAGATCACCCATTGTAAAGCGCTGCGGAATTTGATGGCGCTATATAAATAACATCATAATAATAATAATAATAATAATAATAATAATAATATAGATAAGTGTAATAGACTAGTTGCTTCATTGCTGTGTATCTTTGATATTACATGATAGTTTGGGGTTAGTGTGGTAATATAGGTAATGTGGGGGTTAATGTTTAGTATTATGGCGCTATGGGCATTAAACATCAAAAGATGATACAATCTTAAGTTAAAGGAACAGTCTAAGTAGTGGTTATGGTATCTGGAGTGCCATCCTGCCAGTGTAAGTAGTCAGTTTGAGGACAGTTTGACAACCTACGCTCAGCCTATGAGCAAAGCCATGCATCGCTGGGCTTAGCCTTGTGTAGGGAGCTTTCAGATAGAGAGAAGGTGGCAGCTGGCAGACCCCAGATCCTTAAACGGTTTGACAAGTTACCCTTGAAGGAAACCAGGCCAGTCAATGCCATAAACACTACTGTAGGCTGTAGTAGTTATGGTGCTGGGAGTGTTCATTTAATGTAGCTTTTGTGTAGATGCTATTTTTCAGAAGTGTCACTGAAATAATTGACCTCTGAGAATTAGGAATTCCTAACACATTATTGATGCATTATGAATTGTTTGTATTCCTACTCATTTAACCAAATATTTAATTTTTATGGAGAACCCAGAAGTCAAGTCTATTAAGCAAATCATACCCAGCAAAATATATATATTTTATTTTGTCTTTATTGAACATTTGATTAATTTATTTTAATTCTAAATAAAAGTTTGGGAATCTCAAGACTATTCTAGTTTAAAGGGACACTATAAGCATTTCATCTCTTTGAATTGGTTATAGTGCCTAGAGTGCCCTGGCACTTTCCCTCTATTCAGTGTTGCACCATGTTCGTGCAGTATGCCACAAAATAAGAGTCCCTGGCTACCCACAGTCCGGCCCCTTCAGTATGTGTAGCTAAGGCAGAGATTACACACTTCCTTGTTGTCATACCCATTCATACCGTCAGTTGGAACTCTGACAGGCTAAAAGCAGTCAGCTGACACTCTCAGCCAATCACAGATGCCTATTGCTGCTCAGGCTAATACTTCCTTATTAGCCAAAGCAGCACAGAAGCGATGGATTGCCGGGGACTCTTGTTTAGCATTAAAACATTAAAAGTTTAAAAACTCTTTAATGCTGAAAGAAATGATGGTACCAGAGGACTCCAGACACTATAACCAGTTTAATGAGATGAAGCAGATACAGTGCCTACGGTGTCCCTTTAAGGGGGTTATTTGAGTCTTATTTCTCTGTCAGGTGATATTCAGGTGTGAATATACAGAATTCCTGAAGTGAATCCTGTCCTGATTAAAATAGATAATTGAATGTCTTAGTAGAAAAGGTGACATTGCTGATGACCTAGAAAACGTTACAAAACTTCTTGAGTACCTAGTGTCCAACAAGCCAAAGCAGATGGGGCTCATAAAATTGCATATTTTCCTGGGTTCAGTAAAGTTTAGGTTTCTATCCAATTTATGACAAACATCTTTATTTATTAAAATCAGTTCAACAATATGGTGCAAAACAATAATATGCAAATGATACGACGGTGACATGGTTAAAAAATTATGACATTAACAACGAATATCCTCAAACAGGAGACAGCGAGTGTGTCCACAACAGAAGTGTCCAGTTTCCCACCTTTCACTTCTCCCCTTGATGGTCCCAGTATTTGGTTTAGCGTTAACAGTTGTCATTATGGAATGGACAGAATAAGTGGTCTTGACAATGTGCATTAACAACACGAAATGCATAGACTGGTATGGTAGCACCAAGGCTTGAGCCGTTACACTGCAAATTATTATTATGCCATTTATATAGCGCCATCAAATTCCGCAGCGCTTTACAATGGGTGGACGAACAGACGTGTAGTTGTAACCAGACAAGTTGGACACACAGGAAAAGAGGGCTTGAGGGCCCTGCTCAATGAGCTTACATGCTCGAGGGAGTGGGGTAAAATGACACAGAAAGGTAAGGATAGTGTTAGACTAGTGACAGTTGCAGAAGAGGGATCAGTCGGGAGCTATTAACAGTTTAATTGATGCGCTTTTATGAAGAAGTGGGTTTTTAACGATTTTTTGAAGGAGTGGAGACTGGGTGAGCATCTAACGGAGGAGGGAAGCGCATCTAACGGAGGAGGGAAGCGAGTTCCACAGGAACGGTGCAGCCCTCGAGAAATCTTGAAGGTGAGCATCAGAGGTGGGAGTACGGACAGAAGATAGACGTAAGTCTTCAGCAGATCGTAAGGGCCTAGATGGGACATACTTGTGTATAAGGGAGGATAGATAGGTGGGAGCAGCATTATGTAAAGCAAGAACCAGAATTTTAAATTGAGCTCTATATCTTATAGGAAGCCAATTTAGGGACTGACAGAAGGGTGAGGCATGGGAGATGCGGGCGGACAGGAAGATGAGCAAATCTTTTGTACGTTTTTTTTCCCTTTTTTTAATGATAAAATAAATAAGGCATATCGGTACTTTTTTGAATATGAGCATGAATACATTTTTCTGGAGAAAGCTGTTAATCCTTGTGTTTTTTCATTGAAAGAGAGAATAAGAACCAAATCACCACGCAAGAAATACACATCTTTATCTAAAGTAAAGTCTAGTTTTTAAAAACCTTAGACCTTATCCAGGGCCCGACAAATCCCAGGCGCCAGGTCGCCATGGCGCCTGGGATTTGTCAACTTTTTATCTAAATAAGCAAATAATGGAGCCGGCCGTCCACCTGCGGGAGCATGGAGGCGGCCGGTGTTCTGGCTAAGTGAGCGTTGCAGCCGGCCGCCCTGAGCATCATAGATATTTCATATATATATATATATATATTAGTGTATGACTACATGCCACTTAACCTAGTTGTAGCATTTTTTTAAAAAGTGTTTGTGTTTTCAAATACATTGATTGATTCTGTCTGCTGCCACTGTGATGACATGATTTTATGAGAAACTGCTGCCATCATAGGCAGAGGGTATCTGCCAGCATCTATATAATCAACATATTTAACATTATTTATGAAGCTCCACCATTTTCTGCAGCGCCGTACAGTGGATTCAGGAGACATACATGTATATTCCACAACATGAGTTTTGTAGGGGAGAGTAGACAATCTTAATTTACATTTTTCATTTAATCATCAGAAAATTACATTGAAGAAAGAGGGTAGAAAACCCAAATAAGGATTAACAATAATATGATCAGGCTATCTCGGTGGAATGTTGGGCCGTAAACTATCATCAGTCCAGGTGTGTTCATTTGAGCAGTTTTGATCTTATTAAAATGAGTTTGTTCTTAATGTAGAAATTTTTATGCATGCATTCTGAACATATCTTACTGGACAAGCAACATATTTTATTGTATGCCACAAGAAATAAAAAGGTGTTTTTGAGGGCCTTATAATTTCCCTTTAAAATCACTTCCTTGCTCATACCATTAATAGGTAGCCACAAATAAAAATCTATCTATCAAATGATTTAATCTGGAAGGGTTGTGGGTGTTAGAAGCAAGCCATGGATAGATAACACACATTTAGGTTACCATAAGGAAGCTGTGCTTTTTACTAGATTAATGCTGTCACTCAGGAGATTGTAAGGCCCATTATATCGTATAGCTGGGTTGCCATAGTGTCTGTTGGCTTGGTTAGATAAGGAAGGCTCCTGTAATTCTCTAATACAATTACTGTAACCTTCCAGCCACATATAATAATTACTCTTATCAAACATGTTTTTTTTTATATTTAAAAAAAAACAAAACATAACATTTCACTTTCAGCTTCTTCTACTTAACTCATTAATGCCTAATGTTTGAACAACATGTTTTTGGCATGCTTAAAGCTTGTCTGTCATCCACAAATGTTATAGACCTTAAGGTCAGTTTTAAGTAGATACAAAAGTACACCCTACATACTGTATTGCACTGGTAAAATCACAGAAAATATATGTTAAATGATATACAGTGCATTCAGAATGTATTTACACCACTTAAAGGGACTCTCCAGTGCCAGGAAAACAAACTGTTTTCCTGGCACTGCAGGTCCCCTCTCCCTCCCACCCCCTATCCCAAGTCGCTGAAGGGGTTAAAGCGCACATTAGACCTCCCCATAGGAAAGCTTTCAATGCTTTCCTATGGGGATTTCGGCAACGCTGGAGGTCCTCACATAGAGTGAGGATGTCCATCCTCGTTATAGCACAACGTCGTTATAGTCGTTATAAGGCAAACTAGAGTGGAAGTTTTAAAACAGACCGAGTGGCTTGTTGTACTTTTATAATCTGTAACAATGCAATAAAACTATGTGTACCTTGAAGGGACTCTCCAGAGCCAGGAGCCTGATGCTGGAGGTCCTCATGCATAGCGTCAGGACGTCCAGCGTAGTTTAAAACACTTTTTGTGTTCTATGAACACGGAAGGGTCCTCTAGTGGCTGTCTAGTAGACAGCCACTAGAGGAGGACTTAACCCTGCAAGGTAAATATTGCAGTTTATGAAAACTGCAATATTTACAGTTGCAGGGTTAAAGGTAGTGGGAGTTGGCACCCAGACCACTCCAATGGGCAGAAGTGGTCTGGGTGCCTGGAGTGTCCTTTTAATTTTTCCACATTTTATGTTGCATCCCTAGTTACAACTCCTTGCATGTGACTTGCACAGCCTTCCTAAACACTTCCTATAAAGAGTCGTCTAATGTTTACATCTCCTATGTTGCAAAATATGTTTAATTTAGAAATTCTTATCTCCTGCTCGGTTAATAAGTTGATAGACCTCGCAGGAGCCTCTTGTATGTAATTAAAGTTCAATTTACAGAGCAGTAGATAAAAAAAATTTAAATTATGTTACATCTGATTGAAAATGAAAATAATGTGTGGCTAGGTGTAAAGAGAAATAAAAGTGATTTAACTCCTAAATGGCAGATAATTGATCAGTGAAACTTCTGAGTCATGATCTATACACAAAAAAACTGTTTTATTAAGCTAAAGTTGTTTTGGTGACTGCATGCTCCCTTTATCATGAGTGTTGGGTGGATAGGAAGCCTTACAAGCTAACTCATTGCACAAAGGACTGCAGATGGGCTTTTATATGTGTAGACATACCCTGTAGTATACTTGCACGTTGTGAGTAGAAGCAATTGCACTTGTTTTCATGTACTTTAGCTGTGCTTATATTTAGACAACTTTTTTTTATGTCAATCAATATGTATTGAGTTTATGCAAAGCACAAACAGCAGATCAAAGTATATGAGTCAACGCAAATACAGGACATTATACAGTTTTATAAAATCAGCAAAAATATAGTCAGATACATTACTGGACAATACACAATGTCATGCAATACAACAGTACCTCCATTTATAACTTTCAAGTATGGTATGCGAAGGACTACTTGAAAACCAATTGCAGTAGTAAATATGCATTATTTCTAGGATGATAATAAAACACATGTATGTAGGAATATAAAGTATCAGGGCACATACATGGTATCATGGAGGCTAGTAGCTTAATAAATAATAAATAGTACTATCAGGAGCGACAAACATGGCCCACAAAAAATGCTACCGTTTCTAATCCAATAAATGACTCCATAAAAGTTAGTAATAGAAACCCCAAGATTGTCTAGAAATACTATAAGCCAGGGCCCAACAAATCCCTGGCGTCAGGTCGCCATGGCGACTACAAATTTCACCCTCGCGCCTGGGATGTCAGCCCTTTAAGGCGGCCGTCCACGTCAGCATTGTAAGCGGTGCGCGAGAGAACCGTAATCTGCCTGTAGCTCCTCTCTGCTCCCTCGCGCGTTATTCCAGCCCCGACATCATTACTTAGAGCACGAGAGAGCAGAGAGGAGCGGCAGTTAGATTTCTGCTCCCTAGCTCACAGGAAGATTGGAGAGCAGCCCCACTGGACCCAAGGGAAAACTCAAAGGTAGGGAGGCTGGGTGGATTTCAATTAAAATAAAAACCTCCATTTGTGTGTGAGAAAAAATGTGTGTGTCTGTGTCTCTGTCAGTCTGTGTCTGTTAGTGTGTGTGTCTGTCAGAGAGTGTGTCTGTCAGTGTGTGTGTCTGTGTCTCTGTCAGAGAGTGTGTCTGTTAGTGTGTGTTTCTGTAAGAGAGTGTGTCTGTTAGTGTGTGTTTCTGTAAGAGAGTGTGTGTGTGTCTGTGTCTCTGTCAGAGAGTGTGTCTGTTAGTGTGTGTGTCTCTGTGTCTGTTTAGGTACCTGTCCCCCTCCAATTGCAAAAGAAAGGTGTTTTTACTCACCTTTTTTCCCACACCGTGTCCGTTTCGCCATGGCTGGTCCTGCCTCCATGACGGAAATAATCACTCTTTACAGCAAATGTGCCAATCAGCATCTCCTCATAGAGATGCATTGAATCAGTGTATCTCTATGGGAAACATTTAGCGCTTTCATACAGAGCGTGAAGACGCTGAAACTTAGGGACTCTAGTGCAGTGGTTTTCAAACCAGTCCTCATCGCTCACCAACAGCCCAGTATTTATGTATTTCCCTGTTTTATTCCAATGGAGATACTAACAAAAGCTGGACTGTTGGTGGGTCTTGAGGACTGGTTTGAGAAGCGCTGCTCTAGTGGCTGCTCGAGTGACTGTTACTAGGCAGCAATGTAATTACTTAGGTACAGGCTAAGCTGTAGTGGTTCCTTGTGTCTATAGTGTCCCTTAAGAATTGCTTTTTACTTGTTGAAAATCAAACTTAAAATTAGTTTTTTTTAAAACTGGCTCCTAACTGTTTAGCTGGCACCTAGATTCTAAACAAATTTGTCAAGCACCTCTAAGCAAAACACACAAATCAAAGTGAGAGTGCTAGCAAGTGAGAATATTGATAAAATTGGCAGCTGTAAGCATATAGGTTACAGATTCCTGGAGCTGTCCATAACAATTAACCAATGCTGAACCTAAAGGCTAGGCACCGGAGCAAGAACAAAGGTGTTGCAATGATTTGCTGCTTGGCCTCTGTTTATTGCGCTAAAACTGACATCCAGATGGCTGACATTAGTAAATAGTGTGTATCTCAAGTGTAGGATTGCTGCATTTGTTGCATCCCTTTTGTACAGTGCTACGGAATCTGATGGCGCTATATAAATAATAAAATAATAATAATAATGAAATCAGCAGTTGGTTGAATTGAAATGTGCTCTATGTCTTTGTCAGAGCTCAAATGGGCCAGTCAAGAAGTCAATGCGTGAGAAGGCTGTTGAGCGCAGAAATGTGAACAAAGAACACAACAGTAATTTCAAAGCTGGATATATACCCATCGATGAAGATCGTCTGCACAAGACTGGCCTGAGAGGTCGGAAAGGCAACCTAGCTATTTGTGTGATTATCGTCCTGTTTATCTTGGCCGTCATCAACTTAATTGTAAGTACAAGTAAGCACACCTAAGTTGGGAGTTTCCTTCAGAGTGGTCTTTGCATTAGTAGCTGTGTAGAAGTTGAACTGCTTCTATGTTGTACACATACAACATGCACTAGAGCTGTGATTGGTAACTTGTGCAATTTGTAATTTTCAAACAGGAAATCTAATAGAAGTGTAGTTCACAAGTATATGGGTTGCCATAGTGATTCAACATTACATGCGGAAAGACCCTCTTAAAGTTTGGAGATTGTGACCAGAAGCTGGGGAGACACCTAGTCTGTCAAATTCAAAATAAGGGGATGTATTTATATGTCAGGTGGCTTGGAGACTGTAGGATCCCTTATTGTACTTTTTGCTCCCCTTTCAAAATGCATGACCAGGGAATCTAATGTGTTAACCCTTTACCTCCCCCTCATATGAGCTGAGAGAAGAGTGGAGACACCAACCATCTGATTATCCAAAGTTTTTTTGCTTTTTTTTCGCACTGTTTGCATGAGCAAACTAATTTTATTGGTTTTTTTGTTGTTTGTTTTTTAATACTCAATACTCTAGTCTCGACAGTTTGTTTTCTATTTTAATGGCATTAATTTAAGATTTTAGACCTTTATTATGTTTCCAGTTATCCTCTGTGTCGCATCTATATTGTTCGCACTCTGATTGCAGTTTGCAGCTGAGAAATATAACATGTTCATTGCCCTTTTGTGTGGAAAATGATTTTCTGAATTTTTTGTCTCCACAACTGAGAATTATTCATGTTTTCAAGAAACATAGTTTAACGTGAGAATGGATTAGAACCAGGAGCTATGTACAATTGACTTATTTATCCTGATTATAATTTTTCTAGATCACCTTGGTTATCTGGGTTGTGATTCGCATTGGTCCCAATGGCTGTGAAAGTTTGGAGTTCCACGAGAGCGGCTTACTCCGGTTTAAGCAAGTGTCTGACATGGGAATAGTACAACCATTGTATAAGAGCACTGTGGGAGGACGGCGGAAGGAAGATCTTGTGATCACTGGCAACAACCAGCCTGTAAGTTAAATGCACCCTTTTCTCATTTCAGAGTGCGGAGAACAAACCCAATGAAGAACAGAAATATACTTGTATAGACCAACCCGGCAAAATTCTAAAACACAGTTAGTTGTAATTATTGATGATTATATAAATCTTTTTTCTCTAGCCATTGCCCTACATATTTTTATATATGAATACATGCAAAGACACTGTTAAACATAGCTACTTCGCAGAATATGTTGGGGCTAAATAAATTAAAATAATAGATGCCAATGTTGTCAATGGTCATGTGTATAAAAGGATATTGTGGTTAGATTTCTGGCAGGGGCAGCTATCCAGGAGAAAGATAGGACTTCCTGGAAAAATCCAAATCTGGTTTTCAATAGTAAATCACTTAATGGGAATACAGCTAGATGAAGAATTACACTAAAGGAAATAACACAAAATTGAATCTGAAAAGAAAGATTCAGGGAAAGCAACTAGGTAGCATAGGTTCAAGGCGGGATAACGTACAAACAATTCTTTGTGTATGTGGTTTTAAAATAGTTAATATAATGTTAAACAAAAATCTGCACATCAGTCAAGCCATAAGACTTGCTTTTCCCACAGGAATCACAAATTTGCATTAATGTTACTACCGCAAAGGATTCTGGGTGGGCATTTGCAAATTAGTTCAACAAAGAATCACATTTTTGCCTCATTCCATTTTAAACATGGATTCCTTTGAGTCTGTGTTTGCTGTATACAACTGCTTTGAAACACAACTTAGGAAAAGATTCAATGCCAGTGAACCACTCATGGACAGCTGGTTTTAAAATATGTAGCTTTGATGGAAAAATGTAATCCATACTCTAGTATAACACCAGGTGGCAGTGTAACGATTTTTACAGCCTACAGCACTGATGGCGAACATTTTTGAGCCCGAATGCCCAAACCGCAATACAAACAAATTTTTTTTCCTCAAAGTGCCAACATGACAATTAAACGTGAATACTGAGGTTTAAGTTTAGAAAAAACAACTCATACAGTTGTCCAAACTAATTAACATCTTTTGTTTTAAAAGAAGAACACAACAACAGAGAGTTCAATTATACAAACAGTTTTTTATTGAAAAAAACATCAATTCTAGTAAATGAAAACACACTGATGTTCGGTGGTGCTTCACCTAACTAAGGACCTATTCCCACCTATCCACCTGCAGTTTGCATGCATGTTACATGCTGCTTTGGCACAGTTTACATCAGAATTACATCCGTCTTGCATCCTGTTTTGGTGCAGCTTTGTATGTTTGTCAATGGACGCGTTTTTTTTATCAGGTCTCTGTCCATCCAGCGCACCAAAACTGCATGTAAACTGTGCCAAAGATGCGTACAAGGGGATACTCAACTTGTAATATGATTAAATGCCAGACTGAAATTGTATGAGGAGCATCTCCTCCTCCTCCTAGTATCTCCTCTCCTCTTCCCAGCATCTCCTTCTCCTCTCCCCCAGCATCTCCTCCCTCTCTCTCCCCTCCTCTCCCCCAGCATCAGCTCTCTCCTCCTCCTCTCCCCCAGCACCTCCTCCCTCCTCTCCCCCCAGTACCTCCTCCTCCCTCTCCCCAGCAGCACCTCCCTCCTCCTCTCCCCAGCACCTCCTCCTCCCTCCTCCCCAGCACCTCCCTCCTCCTCTCCCCCCCAGCACCTCCTCCTCCTCTCCCCCAGCACCTCCTCCTCCTCTCCCCCCAGCACCTCCTCCTCCTCTCCCCCAGCATCTCTTCCTCCTCTCTCCCAGCATCTTCCTTTCTCTACCCACAGCATCTCTTCCTCCTCTCACCCAGCATCTCCTCCTCCTCTCCCCTTCCCCCCCAGCATCTCCTCCTCTCCCCTAGCATCTGATTTAATTCTGCTACTGTTAGGGGGTGTGGGTGCGAGGTAGCACTGACTTACCTGCTGTTCCAGCACTGCTCCCTCTTCTGATGCCGCCAGGAGACAGAAAATGATGTCAGTCAAGCGGCGCCGCCTGATAGACATAATTCTCTGTCTCCCGGCGGCATCAGCGGAGGGAGCAGTGCTGGAACAGCATATAAGTCAGTGCTCCCTTGCAGCCCTCCATCCCACCCACCAACGATATGAAAGCAGAGTTGGCGTCTGCCATTTTGGGCAGGCAGGTGCCTACTCTGCATTGCCACCAGGGGGGCCTAGGCCTGCCGACCAGCACCAGCGGCGCTCACCAGGCGACCTATGACTGCGTGCCCACAGAGAGGTCTCAGCGCGCCAGCTGTGGCACGTGTGCCATAGGTTCGCCATCGCTGGCCAATAGTGATTGATATGAGGCAAAGCACTAATCTTAGAATTGTGTTTTTTTGACTTATTTTGCTATTTACAGTGACACACATACAAAAAAAATGTATCTTAACTGCCTTTTATTGCAACAGGTCATTTTTCAACAAGGATCAACAAAGCTTGTTGTGGATAAAGATAAGACCTCTGTAACCAGTGATGTTGGCATGGAATTTGTTGACCCCAGAACCCAGAATACATTGTTCAGCACAGATTACGAGAAGCATGAATTTCATTTGCCGAAAGGTGTGAAAACCTTGAATGTCCTCAAGGCATCTACAGAAAGGGTAAACCATAGATGCAAATCTTACTTGTTATAACTTGTGTGTGACTCAAAAACGCATGTAAACAAGTGACATCTGAAAAGGATTAGTGAAAAGTTAAATCAGGCCCTTGGTATAAAATGTGGTACCATGTAGATGTGAATTCCTGTAAGTTTACTATATATAAGTCAAGGGCTGCCTATGGCTAGTGCAGTGATTGTGTGCTGCATTGTCTTCTTGTTTTATGTCTTTGTCTTAATTCCCAGATCACAAGCAATGCTACAAGCGACCTTAATATAAAAGTCGATGGGCGTATTATTGTACGTGGAAATGAAGGTGTATACATCATGGGGAAGAGCATAGAGTTCAGAATGGGTGGAGACATGGAGCTAAAAGCAGTATGTTGGTTTAAAATTATTTTTTGTTTGTTACAATGCTTGCAGGATTAGTGACTGTGTCCTGAGTGGCTTTGCCCATTGTCCTTTATACTTTATGAGCTCTGGTGTTATCTATTCTTTAGCTAATAAAAGATCCTATCTCGGCCAGTGGCCAGTCATGTACCTTTCTATGATCTTATCCAGCTCCTCCACACCACCTTATAATGACCCACCTATCAAACACATTTTCAGCCTGTCAGCACTGGTGCCAGAGGGTTTACCGTTAATGAACTTGCAGTTGTACAAAAAGATGAGTATCACAGGGCCTTACTCTGGCACACAGCAGACCAAATAATGTGCTTTCAGCGGAAAAAACTGGGTGCCAGGCATGGCTGACATCTAAAAGAGAATACATCTGTAACCTATATATATCTTTCTCAGCTTGTTTTAATATGCAAATTTACATTCACTTGTTAGAAAGAGCCCCTTAGAATGAAACCACGTTTGCAGTTATTGGTTAACTATAAATTTCAATGTATGACATGAGAACATTTTGCAATCCACATTACTCACCAGATCTAGGATACTCAGGTAATTTTCTTTACAATAATGATATAAGCCGATGCCACCAGATTTATTAGGACAGGAAACATGCTTCAAGTTAGAAATCTGAAACTCCTGTAAATGTCTCTACAATTCTTTTTTTTTCTAATGTTTTATCTTGTTTTGGATTTTTTGCACTTATTTCAATAGGAGCAAAGTATAATCCTAAATGGCACCGTGATGGTCAGCACGTCTCGGCTTCCCAGTTCTACTACAGGGGAGCTACTGTACGATGGGGAATGGGAGCGTTACAAGCTGTGCATGTGCGCAGATGGGACTCTTTTCCGAATTAAGGTGGAGGGACAAAACATGGGATGTCAGACTTCCGAAAACCCATGTTTAGCAACATTCTAAAACAACAAAACCAGCAATTGTCAGTATTATGCAAAATCCTTTAGGTTGACATTTTTTTTTATGTGAGCCACATAAGACAAACACGTTAACAGTGTTATTAAAACAATTTACCAATGCAGCATTACAGATATGTGCTACTGTAATTATGTGTGTGAAAAAAAAATATTTGCATGGAAACCACTTGTATTTACAGTTTTATTATATGCCATATTCAGTGACATTAATAACACCCCATGAATTATTTACAAGCCCAGAATATCATGCTAACACAATCCATCATAATCTGTTCTTTCTGGCTCGCCAGATCAGGTACTTTTTACGTTAATTATAGCAACCCGTGCCAAACCTGTTTGATATAGATATGTGTGAGTCCAAAATGATTGAAGTTCACATAAGGAGATAACTAGAGATTCTAGATTTACTCTAAGTGTAAATGTTTTTATGCAGTGTTAGGCCAACTCATTGATAAAGAAGAAAGCTGTGGGTTTTTGTTTTGTTTTTTGTTTAACTTGAAGCCCATATAAATAAATATTTGGGGTGAAGCATTAACATTAAAGGGACACTGTAGGCACCCAGACCAATTCAGCTCATTGAAGTGGTCTGGGTGCTGTGTCCCTATTGCACTTAGTGCCACTATGTAAAACATTGCATTGTTTACATTGCTGCTCTAAGTCTGCCCTTACTGACTGTCTAGCATACAGCAACAGGAGGAGCTTCCGGAACCGAAACCCATGTTTGGTCCGTTATCTGACGCTGGACATCCTCTGCGTGAGGACCTCCAGCGTCAGATTTTCCCCATAGTAAAGCATTGAATAATGCTCTCATATGGAGAAATGCTAATGCGAGCACTGCCATTGCCGCGCATGCACATTAGGTCTCCCCCGCCGACATCAGCGTGAGCGAAGCCTGACCCAGCGCTGAGGGACATCGGCGCTGGATTCAGGTAAGTGGCTGAAGGGATTTTAACCCACTCAGCCCCATGGGAGAGGGGGCACGAGAGATGGGGGCACCTTTTAAACCTATATTGCCAGGGAAACCTGGCAATATAGGATCCCTTTAATATTATTCAAAGAGTACTGTAATATGTATATACTCTTCCATTGAGCTATTGAGGACATGAGTGCACTTAGTCTCTGCTATGCAGTTAAAGAGGACCTGTCTATATTGAGATCTTTTTTATTCCATAAATATAAAACTAGCAAAGTTGATATTATTTAATTACTATTAATTTTCATTTTATCAGAGGTTCATTGGGAAAAAAGAAGAAGCTATTTTTGTAAAGTACCCTGTCTCTGCCTTTTCAGAAGGTAAATCTGATGTCAGAATTGGGTTTTGTTAAACAAAATGTACATAAAAATGAAACCGCTACTTTTATTTCCTGGATTAATATTAAAAAACAATCTCAAAACATGACATTCCCTCTGTAAGGTGTGCACTAATTTTCCAGAATTTTTAATTAATTAATTTATTTATAGCTGTTACTATCTACTAATCCATCTTTTAGAAGATAACAGAAATCTATTCTCCTTTTAAGGAAGGCTCATTTTACCCCACTCCCTCTAGCATGTAAGCTCATTGAGCAGGACCCTCAACCCCTCTGTTCCTGTGTGTCCAACTTGTCTGGTTACAAGTACATGTCTGTTCATCCACCCATTGTAAAGCGCTGCGGAATTTGACTGCGCTCTATAAATATCATCATAATAATAATAATAATTATTGAAACTAAATCATAGAAAACTGTTCTAGCTAATAATTTTATAAAACAGAAAAAAATACTCTGTGTACAATGTCCCATAATGTTTGCGTTTACATTTTTTCTGGATCTTAGCCGGTTTTGGAGTTAGGAGTTTTTGCTCTCTTTTGGAAGTAAATCAAAGAATGGCAAAAAAAAACACAGCTTAAAAAGTTTATGGATGCCTGCAAAGCCCCAAATAGTCCAGTTTTATTTCATGTGCTTTTTTCTGTAATATATATATATTTCTCCCGAGGTTTGATCCCATGCTGATCGGTAAAGTACACTTCTTTCAATTCTTCGTATACACACAATTTTTATGTTTGCAATAAATTTATTTAACCTGGTTTTAGATCATTAACCTGAATGTTTTACACATTGTAGCCGGTGCCTTGGAGTATTATCTGAATACACTAATGAACATGAGGGTGTGTGTGTGCCTGTTCTATATTTATTTGTGTGGCTTTTTTTTCTATTACTGCAAAAAAGGCAAGAATAAACTAGATCTTAAAATATATACTACTTGAAACCTTTGATTACTGTATGTATTAATTATTTTGGAAACTGACAAACCCTTTATAACGGAGCGCCTGTACCCAGAGTGGTATCTCCGTTGTAGGTCTCTTCCAGATCCCGCAAGGCAATAGTATGTTATATCCTTTGCATACACAAACATCACCCGAGATGATGAAGGGTACAACAACTGATTTTATTGAGGACAAGCACACAGATTTATATCCAGACCCATATCCAGACCAGCATGGGGTCTCCATTCATTGTACCTCAAGCTCGCCCTGGCGCCCCTGTGTCTGGAAGATAACTTAGTCAGCCCTTGGTTAAACTAATTATCTCCAGATACAGAGGTAAAAACACAAAATATCACTAAAACATACATTAAACAACAATATACCCCCACATGTTTTATATTCCCCTGAAAGGTCTGATCCTAACGCCCATTCTGTGACAATAGCGCTTTGATCAATGGGGTATTTTGTCAAAACGTCACTGTATCAACAAGTTGCCAGTAAATTACTGGGAGCTATATCTCCTCGTAAGCGAGCTCCCTGATGGTTATAGGGAGCAATTGTCTGAGAGGTAGCTCCCCCCTCCAGAAACATCTTCCTAGGCCATTGGAAAGCAGCGAAAAACAAGGGACAAAATGGCTGGGGCAGCATGCTGAGAGTGGCTGAGCCGGAGTACCAGAGCAAACAGCTGATACAGCTGGATACTCTGGCTCACAGTGAACGTCTCCTGGGCAGGGGAAAAGTGGTGCTGGGTGATACAAACACACAAGGGAGTGAGGTAAGAAAGGGGGAGCTTAGCGGATCATAGTCTTTTGAGTGAGTTCTTTACACCCTGGTTTTTTTTTTAATTCTTTATTTTTAAAAAGGCAGTCAGCATACAACTGGCAACGCAATAAATCAAATATATTAGCACAATATAATCAATCTGTATAATTTTCATACATTGTGTACAGTAGTGTAATGACAAGGTTTAGCAATCTGTAGAAAATTCCATCTCGTCCCATGCTTCAGTGCCACACCTCCAACTTGGAATGCCTCTTATTTGATGTAATAAGTAAAAACTAATAGAACAATGAAATTAACACCAATTGAAATTAAAGACTATAATGTGAACAGCACTGTGGTTCCGGGCTGCTGTTGTGTCCATTCCATGGGTTTTTGTCAAGTTGTGTTAACTTAATATATATTTTCTTTAATACTTAATTTAATGCGGACACCATCCAAGAATAGACATTATGTATGAGTAATATAGTGTGTGGCATCATTTTCAGTTTTTCAATAATAACAAGAATAACAACAATAAAATGACAGTAGAATGTGCATCAAAGTAAAAGCATCCCACAGTCCTGCTAAGTTCGGTCCTGCTCACAAATAACAGTGGACAAGTAATAATGCTTATGGTTGTATATTAGGGCTTGCTGTCATGCTGCAGAATAAAGTTGGGGTCCATCGGATGCCTCCCTGATGGCATTGCATGATGAATTTAAAAAAACCAACAGTTTATATTTGCGTATTGTGACAGAAGCTCCCATGCCGTGGCCTTTTGGAGAGGCTTGAAGGCCAGCCTCTTACCCACAGGCTATGGACCTGGTCCCAGGAGTCCCTGAAAGAGGTGTGTGACAGCAGTGATCAATGTATAAACTATTCATTGTTACTGGATAACTCTGCTGCACCCTCTGCTGACTGACTAGAAGAGTATACATTTGCATAAGAGTTGTATGCAAATAAGGGGAAACAAACGTGGTTAAATGTATATATTATTGCTATTTATTGTTTTTGGAAATGTTATTTGTTTTATATAGTGTAGTGGAGCTGCAATCCTGAGACCGAATATCTCCACCGAAATCCTCTTGAGCTGGAACAAAGCTCTGCTAAGTGAATATAGCCCATTCCCCCAGTAACTGGACGCCACACAGATCTAAGAGTACAAATGTTTTAATTGAGCCAAACTCTGCCTTTTATGCACAGACCCCAACATGGAGTCTCAATTCAGTACATACAAACATAATTGAGCCAAGAACCGGTTAAAGGCCAACAAGCGGTTTTCCTAACACTATAGTGCCCTGAGGGTACCCCCACCCTCAGGGCCCCCTCCCATGGCGCTGAAGGGTTTAAAACCCCTTCAGCAGCTTACCTTAATCCAGCGCCTGGCTCCCTCGGCGCTGGTGACCTCTCCTCCCCCGTCGTCAGCTCCCCTGTCCGACGTCACTGGAGCCGCATGCGCGGCAAGTGCCGCGCGCGCATTCAAAGTGTCCATAGGAAAGCATTTCGCAATGCTTTCCTATGGGCGCTCTGCGCGAAGGAGGCAAAATGTGCCTCCAGCGTCGCAGATGCGCCTCTAGTGGCTGTCTGGAAGACAGCCACTAGAGGCTGGATTAACCCCAAATGTAAACATAGCAGTTTCTCTGAAACTGCTATGTTTGCATCTGAAGGGTTAAAACCTGAGGGACCTGGCACTCAGACCACTTCATTCAGCTGAAGTGGTCTGGGTGACTATAGTTTCCCTTTATCTCCCGAATACAGAGAGCCAAACATAGAAAACACCCCAAAATACAGTTAAAACACACAGGAACCCCACATTTAATTCAGCAACCGGATCCATAAGGAATTGTCCAATAGCCACCAGGGTAAAGTTTTGACCGATTGCACACTTGGGCAAATCCCAAAATGGTTCCAGAGCAAAAGTGGTCTTGGCCGGTAAAATATTGGGAGTTCCTGTGGTCAAATAAATGGGTGCTCCCCCTGTCTCTTAGGGAACGATTGTTCCTCATAGTCCATAGTACCTTCCCTCCAATTAGTGCTCTCCTGGCATGTCTGTAAGTGGGGCAAAACAGCAAGACAAATAGACCGGAAACCATGTGGTCAAGTGGCCGAATAGAGTTCCATGAAGTTCACAGCCAAGTACTGCTGTTAGCATTCAGGAGACAAAATGGCCACTATCTGCCAGATAACGTGCTTTCAGTAATCTGTTTGGTAGAAGGAAGGTAACGAACCAGGGGGAACACAGTTTGCAGGTAGAGGTGCATACCTGCCTGGAAGAAGAGGAGCAGAGGTATAGGCAGAGGTGACGATACCTGCCTGGAAGAAGAACTGCAGCCTGGTTGGGGTAAAAGCTCCAGAGAGACCCCAGTCAAGCCTCGGTCACTGGGGTTGAAGCGCTCCAGGGTCCCGGCAAGCGACTTGGAAGCGACCTGGATAGAGGTACTAGATCGGAGTACAGTAGCTCCATCATAGTGGGCAATTGCTTTCATGAGAGATATTTCAGGTCCATGAGGTAAAGTAAGAGATCATCTTCAATATCTGTAATTAGATGAATCTAATAATAGGGTCTAGGGCCAGATTAAAATGTATAGGTGATAATGGGAAGCCTTGTTTCCCCCCTTTCATTATTGTTACATATTTTGAGTTTTATAATAATCAGTTGTGAGTCCATCTGTTCTCGTGCTTTTCCTGCCCTTCCTGGTTTTATTGCCCATGCTACCTCTTCCTTCATGTTGAGGGCATTAAGGATATCACTTTGTTTGTTGGTGAGCCTTAGTGGATTTACCCCCATATGAGCTCCATCTCTTTCATCGGGTCATTTGGTTGCAAGACAAAATATCAGAAAAATTTGCAACAAAAAGGCTTTTTTTTTATCCCAACTGTGAGAGGCATGTGTATAATCAGTTTTAGTGTTACGAGTTATGCAGTGAAAACCTGGTTTGGGTTGGCTATATGAATAATAAGCTCTCCATAGGAAAGAGTCTAAAAGGTTTGTTTTATTAAAGCATCATTCGGGGTAGCTATGTACTCCTGATGGGCATCAGCTAATTGGGTGTTAAGTTGGTTATAATTTAGATTCTATTTCTGTTTATAATTTTAAATGCATGCTATTATGTGGCCTCTTATTTTTGCCTTAGAAGTTTGCTGGAATAGCATTGGGTTATCTACGTGGTCCAGTTGGTCATCTAACCATTCACTGTTTAATGAATAAACCTTAACGTGCAAGTGTTTGCACAAGCAATTGCACAACAATTGCCAAAGTGTTTCTGTGTCAGCTTGAGACTTTGTACCATTTTGTGAGTTCAGGTTAGGTAATAGCAGTTGGGACACTGTGCTCTGGACAACAAATTGATAACGAGTACCGCTAAAGTGTGACTCTTCTGACAGTACAGGGCAGAGAATGGTCCTTAATAAATGACAACTCAAATAAAGAACACATAACTAGAGGGCTGGCACTCTGGGTCACTTGCATAACCGGCGTAGTCCATCTGCAGGCTCACACAATAGTTTTGCTTATTCACCTCTTAAGGACCAAACTTCTGGAATAAAAGGGATGCATGACATGTCAAACATGTCATGTGTCCTAGAAGGCGAGGACTGTGGAAGCATAGGTAGATAAGGCAGTAAAAAGGGGGTAACCCTAAATGGAATAAGATATAGTGGAAGGAGGAAAGCACTGCCCTAAAGAGATGTTCTTAATATCTTAAAACGTAACTTTAATTAGAAAAATCTATAAAGTGAACAGGAAATATATAAAGAAAAGAAAAAGAAAAAACAAGTAAATAAATAAATAAATAAATGAATGTTGGTTATAAAAACCTCAGTTTCCCACAAAAGATTTGTAGGAAAATATAGACAAATGATCGTATTTGCTGACACAGAATCAAAGTTAGCATTCAATATATTGTAACTATATAGTTATAACAGAATGTATGAATAGAAAGTGCCAGCTGGATATGAATTCATGTTGCCAAATATTGTAATGTATCAATTTGTTTCGATCACTTGCTGAATCTAGTGTGGACGGACAAACGTCTGCATTGTTTTGCACAGTCTGAATCTTAATTTATCTGGATTTGATTATTGGGTCTGGGCTTAGTCCGTCTAATACTAGGTTTTATATTTAAACAGGAGATATGCAGTAAAACAAATCCGTAGAGAGTCCTTATCAGTCTGACTCCCTACAATGTACTCATATTCGTCCAGAGGATATGGGGGAAAAAAAGGGTCTATAAAGAGATCCTCGTCAGTCTAACTAACTACCTGACGTATGATATTCACTCGGTATAATTTACATAGAATACAAAGAAGTATAGTAATTGAGTGTTGTTGTACCGAATAGTGGAACAAATCTTACTGTGTCCACGATGGCATCTGCTTTTGAACCAAAAAGCTGTGCTGTCTAGTCAGGCTCCAAACAGCTAACTGGTATATACCTCAATAGATAAGAGAGTGTAAAATCACGGCTAGAAAGTTCTCTATCACCAGAAGTGTTTGAAAAACCCCTCAGGTCA